GGGGAACTTCCTTAACCTGATGCAGAGTATCTAAAACAACCCTACCACAAACATCACACTTAGTGGTAAAAAGGTGAAAGTTGGCCTCTGATATGTGGAACAAGACCCACTGCCCACCAGTGTCTTTCAACCAGTATTGTACTGGGGGTTAACCAGTGTGGGAATGAAAAGGAAACAGCGTGTGAAACTGAGTTATGAAAGAGCTTGGTGTATTTTAATGAGAGATTCAATGTCACAAAAGCGGCTGACACGGGAAGTGGGGCTGAGGGTGGACGAGCAGTGGGTGAGACTGGAAGAGTAGCTTGGAGCCAGATTGTGAAGGCTTCTGTAAACCAAGCTAAAGAAGCTGGATTATAGTTTGCAGATAATAGGGAATTAATAGAAAGACTAAGCAGGAAGGTGACACAATCAGCTTTATATTCAGGAAGATAAGGGATTAGAATATGGGGGAGTATCATGGCAGGAAATCCCATTAGAAGACGGTAAGAATAATTCAAGGTAAAAGATTAGGATGCCCTGTTCGGAAGCTTAATGGGGAAATAGAAATGAAAGGCTGATGGGATAGGGGAGGAAAAACAAAGGATGATGCCAACATTCATAAGTTAAGTTGCTACAGGCAATCAACTCAAAGTTTTATTCACTACAAAAGTCAGGTATTGTATAGACAGTAGCACTTAACTACCTGGGTGCCTTTGGACAGATGACTTTTCCCTGTGAAACAGATTCCACTTTTATCAAGTCAGGTTGCAATGTGACTTGCAACATTTTTATAAGGGGTATATGAGCACCTGGACGGAAGATGGCCTTGCCCAGCATGTGTTAGCATCCTCATTATTGGGATGTCCCAGGGCCTCATCCCTGCACTTCAACTTTTTTTTCTGCCCTCTTTGAACCCATACTCCTGTCTTGGGTGAATCCATCCAGTCTCATAGCTTTACATGCTACCTATTTCGCGGGCCTGGACTTCTCCCATAAAATCAAGAGACGTATATCCATTTGACTACTTAATGTGTCCGCTGGGATGTACAAGAGGCATCTCAAATTTAACCGTGTTTAAAACTGAGGGCTTGATTTCCCCTCCCGAACCCATTCTTCCTGCAGTCCTCCCAATCACGTTACTTCTAGTTTCTCCGGCAAAAGCCTCAAAGTCATCCTTCATTTCTCCCTTTCTCTACAGTCCACAACCAGGCTGTGAGCAAATCTTGTTGACTGTGCCTTTAAAATATACACAGCCCCTTGGGCCGGCCAAGTGGCGCGATGGTTCAGAACTGGCTTGGGACGCCAGAGGGCCTCGGTTTGGATCCCACATATGAGGGCCAGTGNATTAGGCTGTACTTCAACCCACAGATCTAAGGGAAATCATATTCCCAACCTCTTTGTAAACACTGAGTGTGGATACAGCTCACTTCCTGAAAAATAATAGTAATTACAGCTCTAATAGCACACGAAGTGGGAATTTTCCTAACTGGAGACCCAAAGCTGGGAAAAGTAGCAGTTTCCAAGTGATCGATCCATAAGTCATGCCATCTAAATGGGATTTAGAAGAGAATTCTGCCACCTCTAGTAAATGACCCACACTCTAGACTGCACAAAGGAAGCAAGACATAAGGGAAAGAAGATTAGAAGAGGGTTGTTTTTCTATTTTCTTTTTTTTTTTTTTTTGAGAGACGTGTCACAAGGCTATGTATTTCCCACTTGCCACTTTCTGCAACACCAGACTCCATTAGAGATGGGTGCTGGTCAGGATGGACAACTGGCCTCTGATACCTGGCAGGAGGTTGCTAGGCCTCCAAAAAAAATCCAAAGGCCAGGAGTTACCATGACCAGAACAGAATGTCCAGGGAGAGTTTTGGAAACCCAGGGACTAGGGCCTGACACTTGAGGCTGGAAGGTCTGCAGGCAAGAGATTGATTGTAACTGCTCTGACAAAAGGGTGGAGAGAGGGCCTACTGGCAATGAACTTCTACTGATGGCAGTGAGGGTGGTGAGCTTTCCTGGGGCCAGGCGGACCCTTGGAAAGTAGCTAGGCTCAAATAGGATGCCCAAAAGGACTTTCTAACTGGCATGAGGCAACCTCTGCAGAAAGAGGCTGAAGGTGCTCAGTGGGGGGGCATTGTAGTGGGGAGGTTCCAAGGGGCAGTCCTCACCTTGATATTAGCCTGGTCTGCGTCTTCAAATACCTGAAAATGACACTATTCCTAACACCTAAAGTGATCGGAAGTGCTACAGGATCTGTCACATATGTTGCAAAGGACCATGGTTAGAAGAATAACATTTTTCTACTACTCTCACCCTACCTAACAAGCCTTGCTCTTTTGTGAACTGGTTACTGTAGCTAACACGTTTTAAGTGCTCACTGGGTGTTCTGCACTATTCTGAGGACTTGCTATGTTTAATAACTCCTTTAATCCTCACAGTACTATGAAGTAGGTACAACAATTATTAGACATGAGGAATCTGAGAAAGTAGCTATATTAAGAGAGAAAAAAATCAAACATATGGAAAGAATACAGCAAACAAAGGAGAAGGGAATAGCAATCATTGTGAATGCTCAAAGGAAGAAAATAGCTCTTAAAAATTATTCTCTAAAGACATTAGAATAAAAGCTTAGAGTATTGGTCCCCTTGATGAAATCCACAAAGACAGGGCTTTGTGACAAAGGAGCAGAAGGCACAGGAAAACAATAGGATGTGGAGATGACAAAGAAGAAACAAAGGCAACACAAGGATGACACACAAAGATGAAGTGTTCATAACGATCATCTGAAAAAAGACACAGATGAGAAAGAAATCTTAAAAATCATGACTACTGGGCCAGCCAAGTAGCTCAGTTGGTTAAGAGTTAGCTTAAGAGTGCAAGCTCTGAGCAACAGGGCCGCCAGTTTGATTCTCACATGGGTCAGTGACACTGCACCCAAGCTGAGGATGGCTCGGCTGGTGAGAACACGTGCTCCTAACAACAAGATTGCCTCAATGGTGGGCTATGCCTGGCCACAACTAAAACTGAACTCGGCACCTGGAGCTGAGCTGCCACCCGGATGGCTCAGTGGATAGAGCGTGTGCTATTAACAACGAGGCCGCCGGTTCGACTCCCGCATGGGATGGTGGTTATGCCCACCTGCAACTAAGATTGAACTCAGGGGCTGGCTGAGTGGCACATTGGTTAAGAGCTGGCTTGGTACACCAGCTCTGAGCAGCAGGGCCCCGGTTCAGATCCCATATGAGGGCCAGTGACACTGCGCCCTCTACAGCTAAGATAGTGAACAACAGCTCGGCCTGGAGCTGTACTGCCGTGAGTTGCTGGTGACAGTGTAGGCTGCAGCCCCTGCTGCAGTGGGCTGCGATAAGCTACCATGAGTGGCCGGCAGCCAGCGTGAGTGGCCGGCAGCTAGTGTGAGCTTCCAAGAGCTGCTATGAGCGGCCGTCCAGAGGCCAGCGACCTATCTGCCTCACCCGGGAAGAGCGCAATCATCACACCAACATGGGCCAGTGAAGCGATGTCCTCCACAACTAGACTGAAGAACAAAAGGACAGCAACTTGTCTGTTCCATTTCCCCAATTCCCCAACGCTGTTCCCCTCCTCCAATTCCCCAATAAAAATCTTAAAAAAAAAAAAAGATTGAACTCAGCACCTTGAGCTTAGAGGCCACGAGCTGCCCACGACCTGCAGACGGGCAGCCAGATGGCAACTAGCACCCTCCACAACTAAGACTGAAGAACAACAACTTGGCTAGTTGCCTTCCCCAACCCCTCAACACTGTTCCCCTCACCCAATTCCCCAATTTAAAACAAAACAAAACAAAACAAAAAACATGACTGCCCTACCCAATATTACAATGAATTAAAATGCCACAATAATTAAACCATAGCAGTACTAATACAAACACTGACAGATAAGAGAACAGATTATTCAGCAAGCGGTGTTGGGTAAATTAGCTGAAGAAATGTTCCTTGTTGTTATTCTTTCTCTCTGCATGTGCTCCTCCCTTAGCGGATGGCAGGAGCTCGCAGGCCAGCCTGGATGCCCTGCTGCCCGAGAGCCTACAGCCAACCCACCGGCAAATTCAGTCTGCCCCGCCCCCAGAAAATACCGTGAATCTGTACACACTTCTCAGCTCTGTTGCTGCCACGCCCCTTAAGAGCCAGCAGCTCCTCCCCTAAGAGGGGGGAAGTGCCCTCCCACACGCTACCCTCCTGCAAACCCCTTCTGTTGAGCGGCAGCCGGGCAGACTGTTCAAAAATCGCCCCTTCTCATCCTTTCGTAGTTCTAGCTGTCAGTATTTTATAGGACAACTTGTTGTTCTTTTTCCCATAGAAAACATATCAGAAGTCAAAAGAGCAAGTAGAGGCTGAATTGAAAATGGACTACGAGAGTTATTTAGAGCTGGAAAAGACCGTCCTCTTCAATCTGGGCCTAATGAAAGTGACAGACACGATGTCATTCACGGACATGACATAGAACACCTTCCTGTAAGGGTGTTTTGGAGGCTTTGTGGGACTTCTTTTTTACTCTTTTTTTTTTTTTTGATGTAAGGTAAACTAACAAACTGAATATTAAATAGATTTCTAAATATTAGACTTTCATTTCACTGCTATTAAAACTTTTGAATTATAACAATAAGATCTGTTTTCATTTTCAGACTATGTACTGAACTTTGTACCGAATATGAAAGTTATTGTTAATGAATATTTCCTTTTCCTATAGTACTATGCAGCTTTGGACGTCCCCTCCATGCTGGTCCTTGACATCCATTCAGAGCCCCTAACACCAATCAGAAGTGGAAATCAAACTTTGCTCCTAATGATCAGGTTGTTTTTGGTCACCTCTCCAAAAAGTGCTCCCCTTGGGGCACTACTCAGATTGTAGGGCCATATGCTAAACAAAACATTAGCAAATGAAATCCAGAAATATATGTACAAAGAAAGAATAACACGGGATGTTCACATTGGGTTTATCCAAGGAATATGAGGTTAATTGAACAGTAGAAAATAAATCAGTGATTGATTAAAGGAGAGAAATTATGATACCAAAATAGATGCAGAAAAACTTTTGATAAAATTCCACATCCATTCATGATAAAACAACAATAAATTCTTAGCATCTCAAAGAAAAAAAGGGGGTGGGG